ACAGAGAAGGAGAACCTGAAACAGAGCTTTACTAAAACCTTTAAAATTTACTTACATACCCAAAAGTCTTTGTGCAGCTTCCATTTTAACCTCTATGCACACCAAAAAAGTATATACACCAAAAAGAACCGTCAACCTTTTCACCTATTTCCCTACTGACTCCTTCCCCTTTCCTGTTGTACATCCATTGCTAGGGGTGTCAATTCGGGTCAACGGGTCGGGTTCAGGTCAAGCACGAGTTGACCCGATTCTAAACGGGTCAACCCGAACCCGACCCGTTTTTGTAAACGGGTTGGCTATCTCAACTCGAACCCGACCCACGCGGATTGCCGGGTTGACACGACCCAACCCGGTTAGTTAAACTTAAAGTGGCAGTCGACAACGGCAGCACTGAATTCAACAACAGCAATTGAATTCTAACTTAAATTCAGCAACTATAAAGTTTAAAAATTCTTTTGAATTCCAAAATACTGAATTCAGTTAATATATTAACATTCATAACTGCTTTCAGTTCACCTACCAGCTATTTTTAACCCTTCACCCTACTGGTTTTCTACACTTATTTTCCACAACCCAGAATTCGGCATCTATTCAACAAAATACCATTTCAGAACATAAAATCTGAGACGATAACTACTGTTTCTTTCAGATTTTGGAATCCTACACAAATTCCGACATATTTCTATAGATATATTTTTCATTACGTGTGCAAATTAGCACTTCAACCCACAGCTTACCCACACAACAGCCAGCCTCCTTCAGCCCCTTGCTCTCCCACCATCAGCAGCCCTTTCCAGCTTCTCCCCTTCAATTCGTTTGCTGCTTTGGAAAGTCCAGCAACTGTCGTGGAATGGGAGGGGAAATTAAGTGAAAAATGAAATGTTGAGTTGAGTGTTTTACCCTAATATAAATAAGCACTAGTAGAAATTCCACTAGTATTGCTTAAGATAATCTCAGCCGTTGATTACAGATTCTGCTATCAAACCATTACATGCCTATATAAGTGGATGGCAACAGTGAATTAAATAAAATAATGAAACAAAGTGACATATTAGATATCAGTAAATCAATTAATTACCGTACTGAATTTCCTACAAAGTAACATTTTATTTTTCCTGTGCATTCAGGAAACTAAATGGGTTGGAGAGTAGGCTAAGGAGATTGATAGTTTAGAATATAAACTATTGTATTTGGGTAGGAGTCGTACTAGAAATGGTGTAGGTATGATTTTAGATAAGAGTTTGAAGGATAATGTTATAAAAATTAACAGAATTGGAGATAGAATTATAGTTTTAAAGATTATTGTTGATGCTAAGATTGTTAATATTATACGTGTTTATGCTCCTTAAGTAGCTAGGTTGGATATGGGTTCAAAATTAAAAATTTGGAATGACTTAAAAGAATTAATATGAAAGATATTTCTTGAAGAAAGTTTTTATTGAAGGAGATTTAAATGGACATGATGATAGAGAGTTGGATGATTTTAAAAGCATTCATGGTGGTCTTGGTTTTGGAACAACAAATGAAAGTGATAAGACCATATTAGATTTTTCTTTAGCTTATGATTTTGTAATACCTAATGTTATATTTAAGAAAAGATATTAACATTTAATTACTTATAAAAATTGATATAGTAAAACACAAATTGATTATTTTCTTATAAGAAAATTAGATCATTTAGATTTTATGATGCACAGACATGGACACGGCGACATAGATACGACACGAAACAGACACGGGGACACGTTAATTATTGAAAACATAGGGCACGGACACGGGTCGGACACCGTATTATAGTTTTTATATTTTAAAAATAGTGAATAAAAATTAAATAAGTGTAATTTTTAAAAATAATAAGTCATTTAACTAGGAGATGAAAATATCTTCACTGCCAAAGAGAAATGAAAATGAGAATATTCGATGAAAGGGGTATTAAGTACAGACGATTGATTTGGTATTATGAATAGGAAATAAGAAATTTAATTTTTATATTTTAAATAAGTAAAAATTTTAAATACAAAAAATTATATTTAAAAATTTTCATAAAATAATTATGATATACGTATCGAACACGCGTGTCCAATTTGGATTTAATTTTTTTTAATCGGACGCGTTTTGGGCGTGTCTGATACGTATCAGAGGAGTGTCGAACGTGTGTCGTGTCGTATACATGTCGAACACTGCACATCTCTTTCAAGAGACATGTCGGTGCAATATAATTTTGATTGCAAATATTGTAAAGTTATTCCGAGTGAAAATTTATGTACCCAACAACGTTTATTAGTTTTTTACTTTAAGATAAAGGGACCAAAAAAAATAAAGTAAAACGATATTCTATGATTAGATGGGGGCATTTAAAGAATATTAACAAAAGTATTTTTTAGAGTAAAATTTTAGATCTTAAGATTGTCTGTGCACGAGGATGCTAATATTATGTGGGAAAAAGTGGCTAGTGATAATAAGAATATTGCAAAACATGTGCTTAGAGTTTCGAAAGGAATAGCTACTAATAATAAAAATAGTTGGCGGTGAAATCTAAATCTGCAAGAAAAAATAAAAAATAAGAATATTTGTTATAAAAATTGATTTATACGTATAAATTCTAATAATCGGTAAAACTATAAAGAAGCTCGTAATAAATCTAAGAAAGTTATTTGCGATGCAAAGAGCTTAACTTTTAATGATTTATTTAATAGATTAAATACTAATGAGGGAAAAAGATATATGTATTAGTTAGCCAATCAAAGATATAGGAGTAGTAAAGATTTAGTTCAAATAAAGTGTATGAAGGATGAAAATCAAAATGTGCTTTTCTTAGAAGATAATATTTAACAAAGGTGGATGAGATATTTTGCTAAACTTTTTAATGAAGAATGTGAAAATACGATTGACCTTTGTGACCTTATTACCTAAAATGAAAATAAATATTTTTGCTTTTATCGACGTATTAGAAAAATCGAAGTTAGAGAGCCTTTAAAGAAAATGAAGTGTGGAAATGCTTAGGAGATAAATGAATTTCTTGACTTACTAAACATTTTAATATTGTTTTAATGACTAAAAAGATGTCAAATGAGTGGAAAATGAGTGTGTTAATTCCTATTTTTAAGAATAAAGGGGATGCACAAGAGTGTGCGACTTATAGAGGAATTAAGTTAATGTGTCATACTTTAAAACTATGGGAGCGAGTCATGGAACGTAGGTTGCGGAGTGATACTAATGTTTCTCAAAATCAATTTGGATTCATGTCGAGTAGGTCTACTATAGAAGCCATAAATTTATTGAGAGGTTTGATGGAGAAATATAGAGAGAATAAGGAGGATCTACATATGATATTTATTGATATAGAGAAAGCATATGATAAAGTTCCAAGAGAAGTGTTATGGAGAGTTCTTGAAAAGAAATGAGTCAATAATGCTTATATTCAAATCATTAAAGATATGTATGCAGGAGCTATTACTTGTGTTCAAACCCAAGGTGGTTTGAACAAGTATTTTCCTATTTTAGTTGGTAAACATGAATTATGGAGGTTAACTTTAGAGTCCAAAGGTTTTTGCTTGAGTAGATCTAAAAAACTAAATATATTGAGTATAATTTTAGTAGCAATAGACCTAGTGAGGGTATTGTGACTTTGGGCGATCAAGTCATTAATAAGAGTACACGTTTTTTATGTCTTGGATCTATTGTTCAGAGTGATGGTGAAATAGATGGGGATATTACTAGCAGAATTCAAGTTGGATGGTTGAAGTGGAAGAATGCATCGGGTTGTTGTGCGATAGAAAATTCACCCTCAAACTTAAGGGAAAATTCTATAAGATGGTGGTGAGACCTGCAATGTTTTATGATGCTGAATGTTGGCCATTAAAAAAAGAAGCATAATACTAAGTTAAGTGTTGCAGAGATGAGGATGCTTAGGTGGCTTTACCCTTAGAGATAGGATGTGAAATGAGCATATACGTGAAAATGTTGGAGTAGCTCCAGTGGAAGATAAGATTAGAGAGAGCCGCCTTAGATGATTTGGTCACATTAGACGGAGGCCTTCCAATGACTCCGTTAGGAAAGTTGAGGTTTTAGATTTGACTTATGTTAAGAAAGGTAGAGGTAGACCTAAAAAGACTTGGTTAGGAAATATTAGAAATTATCTTTCTTTATTAGATTTAAATGAGAATTCGGCTTTTAACAAGACAATGGCGAAAAAGAATTCATGTAGCCGACCCCATGTAGTGGGACAAAGGCTTCTTCTTGTTGTTATTGTTGTTGTATGAATAGTAAAATATTATTCATTTTATATTAAAACACTAATTTAATATTTCAATATACTTCTATATGTCAAAGTGATCGGAATTAAAAGTATAATTTAATGAGAATAAGTTAACCTTTAGAGGAAGTTGATGCTTACATTATTTTAAATATTTTGAGGGTATTAAATTTCAAGTGTTAGAAAATATAATCCAATGATTTGAATGTGATGCTATGACCCTTGGTGAAGGTGAGACACAAGTTATCATACGAAGAGTACATATAAATTGCAATATGAATATAATCCAAATTTTCAAATATAATCAAGCTTAACACGTTTTAATTCGTCAAAATTATATAAGCAACTCTTTCTATCATGAACAATTAGATAAATACCACATCATGAAACAAAAAGGTGTCAATTTTAGTTGTTTCAGTTGTCCCGAATGTGTCGATGTTTTCCCTTTCTCAATTGAATGTCATTTTGGGCAATTTTTGAATTTTGTTTAACACGTTACAGATAGGTTCGCTTGGACGTCACTCTGTTTGCTCATCGTTTCACCTTGCTTAGTAGGATTGATCTCCGGATTCACGATCAAAGTCAACATGTTCAGCAGTAAATTGAAGTAGTTTGGTGTTAATTTTATAAACAGTCAAATTTTGGGAGCCACAAACCGAATTGCACCTAATTAATATTAAGAATTAACATTCCTACAATCAGAATATTTATAACATGAAAAAAAATTGAAGGGAAGGAATTTGACCTTAAAACCCGCAATATCCTGAGTGACACCCGGAAAAGGGCCAACAGTAGCACGCTTGCTCTTCTCCTGTGCTAAGAAAAAGCAAAAATAAAAACAAATATGAGATGATATCATTAACGTATTAAATAAAACAATGCACTTCTTGCAAATTTTAAAGGACGTAGATTGTTTTACCAGGGAAACGAGTAGATGCAATCTGACTGATGGAATTGATAAGAGCAGATTTTCCAACATTGGGAACTCCAACAACCATAACTAGAAGTGTAGGTTCTCGGGAGATAACTTCTCTTAGTTTGAGCTCCACCAGAGAAAGCAGCTATCCAGAAGCCATGTATTAGAACTGGAATATAAATGGTAGTTTTTAATGATGAAGTACCTGAAGCATTTGTAAAACGTGAAATGGAACTTTGCTAGCAAATTTTTCTATAACTAAAAAGCTCTCATAAGTGATCCTTTAGTTCATATTGCATTGAACTCAATACTTATCATTCATAAAGCAGACAAATCGTAGACCTAACAGACTTTAGTGCCACAATTAGCAAACTAACCTGGTTGACAGAACTTTTACTATGCGCATTGATGGAAATGCAATCCTGCTTGAATAACTCAAAACGCCCGATCCAATGCTGCCAAATAAACACCAAAAGTGGTGTACATGCATATGAGAAGAAAAGGACACTTAATAACAAGTTTCATGGAGAACTAAAAGACTAAACATGGCACCACAAGATAAATTTATGCACTAGTGATGTGGGCCTAACTCTGATTTGCTCTTTTGTCCTCTGGTTATTTGGCCCATTTTATATATTTTGAATCTGATAGTTATTTAATTATTTTACTAAAGACATTTTAGAAACATCAAGTAGTTTATAAACACTAAATTATCAATAAATTAGAAATGTGTTAAGCAATTTTTTATTCTTTTCACATCTATAAATAGATTTAATATGGGGTATCTAAGATGGTTTTAAAGCATGGAAAAGTTCTTATTATACTAGTTCAATAAATGCACATGAAAGACCCTTATCTTTATAAAATTCGGGACTTATATCTTTATTAAAGTTTTAGACCGGAACGCTTTCTTAGAGGGATCTATCCTTCAATGTAGAGAAGTGTGTATCAGAATATTATTTCTTAAAATTCATACTTTTTCCTACTTTAATATCCTTGTAATTTTTTTTCAATTACTATCCTACATCAATTTGATATAAAAGCTACGATTTTGGATCCTACTATATGAAAGATCGTTTTGAAATCAAGTTTCACAATTGTTTTCTCTGTTTTACCCAAAACACCAACACATCCTATTGATGGAGATCTACCAGTCTACGCCCATCAAAAATGCTGAGCAATTGAATGATCAATTCAAGTTTAATTAGTTTCAATTTTTTATTATATTTTCTATTTTTTAAATCCAGTTATTTTGACCATGCCTATGATGATGCCTAAGAGAATAAAATTTGTTCTCTGGTCAGGGTAACCTCTACTAAGTTTGGTTCAAGTGATTGGACTATGATTGCGGTGTTGAAGTGTTGGCCTTATGTTACAATATGGAGTTCATTTAGCATGGCTCCACTGTTATAAATGGGTCCTGTGGTTCTTTTATTGTTGACAGTTGTTACATCCTAAAGCCGGAGTGGAATTAAAGTTCCATTACCCAATGTGTGTTTTCTATAATCCATGTTTATTAACCATGTCATGTCTAATTGTGGGCATTCCAAGTTTGAAGTTTGCAATTACTTTGATGATATTTACATAATATGAATTTTGAATTGAACTGACGTTTTGAGGTAAGCGACCTAAAAGAGATTAGATAATTATTTCTTTCATGCAATCTTAGAAAACTAGATTGGATTGGCCAGTCGTGAACCGATGATTTCATTAGTCAAGGTAGCTTTAAAAACATATGTTATATCAATCAGTCTAACCAGCTTGAACCGTCGGTACGACCGGAGTACCAGTGAATTGGCCTCGATTATATAGAACCAACTTGTTCAAATGATGCACTCTTGAGCACCATTGATCGAAAATCCAAGTACAGAATTTTTACTATAAAACTAAATATATAAAATTTATTTATTTATAATACTTTAATTTAATACCAAAACTACACAACCCTAACACCCCAAATCACCAAAATCAAAACCAGCTGCCCACCCTCACGTGCGCTTTGTTCGTCCTCGCCCTTCACCCTCACCAGCAATCATCTACCTCACTAGCTATCAAACATCTGCATTGAAACACAACGATTCTCTTCCATGATTCCTATTTTGTATAATTATTGTCCATATTATTTGTGTATGTGTTATGTTTTTTTATTGTAGATATCATTTGTATATGAGTTATGTTTATTTTTAGCTACATATTTACATAATTATATTAGTATAGCATCATTATTATATCACTTAAATCATATTTAAAAAATTTTAATATTTAGTATATCATCCTGCTCAATCCAAGCTAAGCCATTGAAGCTTGAACATCTTCTTCCAGTACCATGTTCAGTCTAGTTTTCACAACCTTGCTTTTATCTCATCTACATTAATTGCATCACTCTAGTTGCATCAGAAGCTCGAAGCCCTTAAACGTCATGTATCAACTCTCTGTCATTCTCCTATCTAAAACAGTAAATATCCATTCATAAAATGAAATCACTGCTCACAAAGCTATGAAATTGAAGTTCACAAAACAATAAAATGAAATTCATGTGAATATTATTTACACCTAAGCTTTTTTCACCCTCCTCTAACCCTCTTCTTTCCCCTCCAAGAAAACTCCATAAAACCTAATTAATTTCCATTTCAATTTTAAATCCAAAACTTTCTCCAGGAGTCCCACTTCAATTTTAAATCCAAAAGAGAATCAACACTGAAATTTCTCCATCATCCAAGCCAACAACCTTCCGATGCTCCTGAAAGCACCAACAAATTTTGAAAAAAAAAAAACAAAAATTGAAGGAAAACCCAACAAGCTCTTTTCCATCTCCCGTATCAAGACCTAAGAAGGCCTGATACGATTCATACAACAGCAAATAGAAATTTTATTTTAAGGAATTTAGATTTTATTCAAGGACATCAGGGCAATAAAGATGCCTTCGGCAACTACTTCAAGATAAGCTTGTTGATATACTTTAACATATATTTCTCTAGTCCATAGAAGTGTCATCCATCATTCGACTAATTGTGCATAATGTTTACTTCGGGTATATTATCACAATCACTACAGAACTCTCAGAAGTAGTGAATTTTTTGTTAGGTAAATTAATATGCATATAAATTATGAATTCACATTTTGAAAGCTATTCAAGTCATTTAATACTTTTTTAAGGCTAAATATCTTTCATTATTTTGTTAAGAATTTTTAGTCTCATTGTCAGCAGCTTGTAAGTTGTTTGTTAGCACTTCATAAAAATTTCATGGCGATATACTAATAATTTGCAAGTAATTTGTGATTCCTTCGACATTTATAAATGGATTTGTTTTAGGTTATGTAATATAGTTTGATGGCATGAATAAAATTATAATTGTGGATGTGAAGACCCTCCTTCATATAATCATGAATTTTGATCCTTACTCAAGAGTGAAATGCAAAACCCTTCCACAAGGGATAATCTCTTTCAGATATAAGGCTTGCATGTCAAGGTATTGTTACTTATTTTTTTTTCTTATTTTCCTTGTTTATTATCTTTTCTAATATTTTTGTGATTTCCCATCATCATTATGCAGCTAATAATATTTGATGTTGCATGAAACTAGTAGAAATCTCACAAATATAAAATGACCTCATTTATCATAGATTATAATCTTATATGAACAAACTGCAATCCAAGAAATATGACTTACATGCATTACGTTGGGATTTGCCAAATCTTTCTTATTTAGAGCAACAATTCTTCTCTTCCTGACAAGGAGATGCTGAAGATCCTCATTAGCAGATGATAGAGGAATCTATGACAAACAGCACAACAAATATTCAAACAATTTAATTCATAACATATTACACAAAAAAACAATGCTAATGTAATAGGAGGTGGATGCACTTTTCCTCGAAATCAGCGAACGGCAATAAGAAATTAGGAAGAAAAATACACCAAACTATTTCTATTACAAGATATATGAAAGAAAATAGCAAGATACAGTTGGATCTTCAATTTTAGAGGAAGATCCGGCTCTACCAAATCCCTAGCTGTCGGCTAGAGTCTAAATAACCTAAGAATTTATAATTTCAGCAAACACTAAACATAATTTGAAATCACCCCATAGTTAGCCTTAAATAGGCTCCCATAATTCCCTCCCAAATCAGGCCCTTTCCCTAAATAAATCCCTCTCAAATTTAAATTCAAATTAAATTTATTTCCATAATTAATTTCCTCCCAATTGTAATTAACTTTGCTAAAAAATTCCCCCTTAACTCCTTTTCCCTAAATAATTCCCTCTTAGATTTTGAATTCAAATTAGAACTCTTGCCCTAAATAAATCCCTCCCAAATGTAATTAAAAATTTTCATAAATAATTCCCTTTTGATTAAGAATCTTCCTAAATAGTTCTCTTTTAATTAGCAAACTTCCTAATTCCCTCCCAATCAAATTGGTCGGTCTATCAATACTCCCCTCCCAAAGTGTCACCTGGGGACCTTGTAGACCTGGGGTGAATGTTTGTCTAAGGGACAAATTTAAATCCACCTTAGCTAACAGAAGGCTTCGTGCCCTATCGATCATATCCTATTGATTCATATCTCAAGGATTTTATGTCACTAAGGAACGTATTGGCTCTGCCCATAACCGGTATCTGTGGTGTCATTTGACGGCAAAACCACTCAGTTTAGATGACCCCGGGTCATAACCGTTTATTCTGCGATGTCATTTGGCGACAAAACCGATGATTAGAAGACACGTACCACGTCCTTATTGGCAGAAGATTGTTTGAGAATGAATCCTAGTGATATTTTCGACTAGGCATTTGGCACTAAGTGAGCTTAAATAAATTTTAATTTGTCCACCTCGACAAACTACTGCAGAAGGTGGATGGATTTTGCTTTAAGTATGGATGGATAATTTTAATTTTAAATATTTGGGATTTTTGAGATTTTTATATTTTTGGGTACTTGGAGTGGCATTTTGGATTATTTGAAATGGACCCCTCCGGTTGAGATTTGCATTCAACAAGGCCATCATCGGGGTGTTCATGAGGTTATTTCTCTTTGTTGATTGAACCTTGTCGACCCTATCAACTTGCCGATAGGGGATTGGATTTTGTAGGCTTTGTGCCTTTGTTTGTGAATATTATTTGTTAAAGGCCTTGAAGGCTTAATATGAATGTGCAAAATAAATATTCCGATCAATTTCGTGACCGCATATTTATCCGATGATTCGAACCATGTCTACTCCTATTTATCTGATTAGGAGGATCGGGTTTCGTAGGCTTTATATCTTTATTTAGAGAATTCTTTTGATTATAGGTCTTGAATGCATAATATGAATGTATTAAAATAAATACACCGGTCGCCACAACCGTGTATTTGTTTGAATGTTCGAACCCTATCAACTCCTATTGATCCGTATAGAATGATCAGGTTCGAACCTGAATTCACTTACTGACTTGTGCAGCATCCCTAGGCGTCGCGTGTATACCAATAACACTATCTGGGGCCCATGCGGGTTGAGATTGTACTTTCCCCTTTAATGTACCTATGTGTATACAAATTATGGTACACGTGCAGGGGGTATTTTGAAATATTTTAGTTGTGCAGATAATTATCATTTTAATACACAACATTTCATTTGAGAGCCTATACAAGCCTTCAGTCTGCTAGTACGAGTGTTGCGGATCCAGTGGCAGTATATTCTTAATGTTGACTCCCCTTTTCTCATTCACCGGGGAGATCCTTCTTGAAATCCGTGGCCGCTGCCTTGAAAGGGACTCCATTTAAGATCTTCAATGTAGTGGACTTGTTATTTCCGGTGTTTGTAGATATCAGAACTGTTTTTCTCCTGAGTATAGGATCAAGAAGAAATTTTGGAACACCAGGAAATTTAGTTCGAATTTGTTCAAACATCTCCTCCATTCTGCTACGAGGTGTCCTTTTTCGTACATCGAGTTGCCCCTGTACCCGACGTACTTGAAGATCTTAATCACCGTTGTCGTAGGTGATATTTGTACTTGTGCCCACAGTGGTTCGTCGTACCTACGATATATCCACTATTGTTATCCACAAGTATTCATTTGCAGGGCATCGTTGTATCCACTACGATCTCCTAGAAGTGTTGGTAGAAGAGCCGTTGTTTCTGCATCATATCCACTTTCACCAATCTCAATTGGTTTGATGTATTATGCTTGTTCGTAGGGACGGGTATTTCACTATTAAGTAGTAGTGTTGCCTTCTTCAATCAACAGGCATTGTTGTTTGTGTTGAAGATTTCAATAGTGCATGTAGGAGGGACACCCGTGCATTTCATTCTTGCAGGTATGATGCACCCGATCTCGTAGGGACTATTGTAAGAGTCCAGTATATTCTTTATTCACATGCATTGAGGTCTCGTAGTGAGCTTGCTTGTACCTCGATGTTGGTTATGAGGATGTTGCAATATCCTTCCTACGAGGGCTCGTGGGCGTTTGCATTTGTTGCATCTTAGCCACATTCATTTGCAAGAATTAGTGTAAATGCCACACATTATCCCTCGTGTATGCTAAGTTTGATATCTTCATTCATTCGCACCCCAATTAAAATGATCGTTACAAGTTAATTCATGCCAAAGCTTGTAACCAACTCATGTACGGGTCTTTTATTCATTTGAGCTTGAATATGAAAGGCTCAAGTCACATTTGCTTAAAATTCAGCTCAAGCTCAAGTCTTTGGTTCAATTCAAGCACTCGCTCAAGTTCAAATTGTTCAGGCCATTAGTGTTCAACTTGAGTCTAAAATGCAAGTTCAAGTAGTCTTATTTAATTCATTTCATTTTTAAATTGAGTTTGAGTTTGAGTTCACTTGAGTTTGAGTCAAGTCCTTGTTATCACTTTGATTCCAAGTTCTTAATGTGTTTTGTTCAAATTTGGATTTAATTCATTTAAATTCATTTCACAGGTCCCCTGCTTGTGTTCAATCAAGTTCAAAGGTCCACAAATCTGAGTCCACTATTGTTCATTTGAGTCCCAATGCTTGTTCTTTTGAGTTCAAACAAGTTCGAGTACAGTATGTTTTCACCCGAAATTTTGGCAGCCTCCCAGCGTCTCTCCTGTTTAGGGGAAAACTACGAGAAACTGGGCCTTCCCACCACACGCAATAAAAATGTGCATGATAGGTGCCCTCTTTTGAGGATACCGCGGCCGTGTAAAGTCTTTTTCCCCAACCACGCCAAGAAAGACGTCTTCGGTACATGTTGCAAGAAAAGAGCAGTTGTTTCCCCGCAGGTACAGAGCCGCGTACAGGTTTAAGGGTTGTCCCGGCCACGCAAAGAAAAGCGTACACCATGCTTACCTGGCCGTCGTATGCGTCGCACTGGGTTCCCTCCTACCACGCTAAGAAAAGCGTGCATAGGTAGTTTGCCGGCTCGTCGAACACACCGAGGACAGGGTTTTGGGGCCCGAGGGGTCGCTCACCTACCTCGTCGTAGGTGTCACACCAGGTTCCCTTCTACCATGCTCAATAAACCGTGCATTGGTGGTTCGTCGGCCCGACACGCATGCCGAGATAAGAGAGGATGATTTTTGCAAACTTTTTTTTTGAAATAATAATAATAATAAATTACTATAATGATAATATTAATAGTATTAATAATAATAATATTAATAACAATAATAACATTATTATTATTATTATTATTAGTAATATTATTATTACTACTAATATTAATAATATTATTAATACCCTAAATAATAATAATAATAATAACAACTTAAAAGAAAATCACCTCTAAGTTTCTATTAGAGGTGCTTGGCTACAAGTGGAGAAGAGGTCGGGTTAGAGGAAGGGCTGCTAGGGACAGAGGAGCTTGGGTGGATTTGCGGCTATAGGAGGCGACGAGCAGGGCTAAGGAGCGGGTATATGAGAATAGGGAGGAGATCGGGTCGGGCCTGGTGAGGTTTTGCGAACTAGAGAGGAGGATCGGGTAGAGGGGAGGCGTTCGGTCGAGTAAGAAGCTCTCTCTCTCTCTCTCTCTCTCTCTCTCTCTCTTTCTCTCTCTCGGCTTGTGCAAGAGATCGGCATAAGCAAAGGGGCTTAGAGCAGAGGGAGGTGAAGATGGGGGAAGTCGAATGACAGTGCAGGAGCCGGAGAAGAGATGCGTGCTTCTTATAGCAAGTGAGCTCCCTTAGTCGCTTCCGACCAAGGCGTCGTAACTTCCGATCCCACGGGGAAAGGAAAATGTCATCGATCAAGAGAAGTCACATAGCCCGAAGGAACCGAAGTGGCACGCGAAAGGGAGAGAGTGAGCGGGGTCGTGAGAGGCCAAAGGCCTCTCCTCTTCGGCTTAACAATACTCGAGTGAGATAGTGCGGAGTCGTGCAATGAAGCAACGTTGGAATGGCTCCGACGTGCGAGCGACGTGTGGGATGAGGGCAGGTAATATTTGATTTTGATTTTTTTTCACTCAGTACAGGTCAACAAAACTCTCATTTCATAAAACTCTAAACATAATTTGAAATCGTTAGCCTTAAATAGGCTCCCATAATTCCCTCCCAAATTAGCCCCCTACCCGTAAATAAATCTCTCTCATATTCGAATTCAAATTAAATTTATTTTCATAAATAACTCACATCAACAAAGACATTGTTAGACCGGTTCTTTGTGAACCGATCCAGAACCAGCCAGCCCAAAGGGGGCCGCTGGTTTATAGAAGGCGGAGACTTCCGCCTCCTTTGCTTGGCTTGTCTAATGGGGCGGGCCCCACTATTCCAATGGAATGAAAATTCAAACGGAGTGAGAACTCTAGGATTTGGGAGGGAAATTAAAA